CTTGAATCTGTATAGTGCTGGTGTCTCCTTAATGTAATACGGTAAATGATTGAACATACAAAGTCCAGTATTAATAAAATTGTCTTTGCATAAACTGGTATTACATGAAACAATATATAGGTCATCTTTTCCCCGTGTATTATATGAATGTATTTCTGAATTGGTTGCAAGAGTATTCAAATTTGATTTTGTGTATATCAGAGTTTCATAAATATACAAGCATGGTAAGGGCAATATATTTAAATAATTAAAATACTGTTTACAACTAGTAGTTTTCTGAATTTGCATCATAGCTCTAATAGCTCTCTTTTGCAACTTAAAAATCAATTTAGCATTTGGTGAGTTGCCCCAGAATAGTATTCCATATGATAACAGGGAATGAAAGTAGGCATAATATAGAGTACGAACAGACTCCAGCCCTGATACTCTTTTTACTACTCCTAGACCAAAGCATATTTTACATAACTTTTTTGCCAGTTCCTGGGTATGCATAGACCACCTTAAACTCTTATCTATCCAAACTCCCAGAAATTTTGATTGTTCTAAATATTTAATGGATGTATCATAAAAGTATATCTAATTTATTCTCTTGCTATTTATCAAATACTGTTACATCACTCGACTACCTCTGTATTCTGGTGGTCAGAGTTCCTGGCTACAGATCCAGAGATCCCAGGTTCGATTCTCGGCGCTATTAGATTTTCTGAGAAGCAATTCTTTGTATCTTGGAAATTAACTTGTCTAAAAAAATATAATCTTTTCATACTGCATTAGTACACCTTTCTAACTTTGTGGATCGTCCAAAATTGAGTCCTTAATAGTGCTGGAATTACCAGTTTTTGTGACTTTAACAAGTGTATGTGCTGTTGTATTTTGCATAAATATGTAGCATTAATATCAGATGTAGAAATATTTTCATTTTCGAAAGATCTGAATTACAAGCATGAAGTTGAAATCATGTAATAGGCTGGAGAGAATGCTTAACTTCCTGATTCAGTCTCCACTGGTGCAAGTTATGTTAACTTTGACACGTCCATTTTGATTTCCATCACTCCTTTTGTAGTGGGTCAGGTGTACCTGAGTCCAACATTGTATATCAGAGCACTTCGTCATTCTCGGCATCATGTTTGGCAACGAATGTATGTGTAGTTCATGTATGTTGTGGTGTAATCTTTTGTCAGAATGAGGCACTGAAGTTAAAGTTGTGAGGAGCCACGTCCTTGCAGGAGATGTGTGATGTGGAGGAGGAACAGGTGGGAGGAGATAGTGTGTTAGAATATGTGTATAACGTAACACCAAGGGACAGTTTCAGTCATGTTTGTGTTTAATCCAAATGTTGACTTGTGGACTCACAGAACGCATGTTTCAAGTATTGTGCATGTGCCTATGTTATGAAGGACTGTGTGTCATTTGTAGCCATGCATGACAGAAATATCCCTTCACAGATAGATCACAAAAAGTACAAAATGGAAAGCAAGAACTACCAATAAATACACAACAATCTAAGGTTATGACCTTAGATTGTTGTGTATTTATTGGTATTTTGAAGTTTGATGTGATGCAGCACAGTTGTAGTAATGTACTGTAGCCCTGAATTGCATAATCATAGGAAGCTCTGTAATGATCTGGGAAGGATAGATACATTTTCTTTATCTCCATTCGTTTTTTGTTCAGAATCTCTTTGTAGTTTAAGATAAACTTGCTTTGTGAGCTTATTTCTCAGAATTTGAGATGCAAAGGAATTTTTGCATCCCAAATAAATGTGTCGGATATTCATGAAGGAACTAAAACTTTCTTTCACATTTCTATAATTTTCTGAAACGAGTGTCTAATATAGCATTCCGTGGGCATTATCTTTTCTTATATATATCTCCTCCTCCAAGGATTCTGAGCTGCATATCCTTGCCAGTGTTACTGTATCTACCTGTGAACTGTAACTTAATAAATATATATATCATTTCATTCCATCAAAAGTATCTTGCAATAAATATTGTCTTTCCCAAGGATTGTGAGATCAGCAGCCTTGTCAGTCCACTGACCTGAAAGGGATTTCAAATGCCAGTGCAGCTCTGCTTGGTACTTGCTTCATGGTGTTTCTCTGCTTGGCTTATTCTTTGATCGTGAAGATGGAGGCGATTTATTCCTCTGAAACACTGGTTAACATTCAGCAAACTACAAAACGTATCCAAGAAGATACAAACCTTTATAACCAGTGGTGTGAGAACCTCAAATCCTATACACCATTCTTCCTTCTGTGGCATTTCCACATTTATGTGGGTTGTCTAACAATCAATCCTCCATACCTATCTCAAGAGAGCCTCAACTTGTGAGCCTCCATACAAGAATGCGACTTCCCTTCAGATTTAACCTTTCTTTTTATGAGCATAATTATTTATATCAGTGACACAGCTTTATGGTTCTGAAAAAGAAAACTCTGTCCTCATTTTTAAAGAGATTGACAATCAGAAACAGTTGTCTAAATTGCATATGCCTTTAGTGTAGGTCTGAGTACATATAATTTTACCTTCATTATTTTCCAGTTTACTTTTAGTGAAACTTAGAACTGCTTCATCCATACATCACCATGACTACACCACTTTGCTAATGCGAATTTTTTTTTAATTACAGTTGGCCAGAAGCCATGACAATACTGAGAGTTCATCAACGCAGACTGATTTGACACAGCAGAATTTAAAGGACTTAAGGTAATTTTTTATATATAACCATACGGCTTAAAATAATTTTGATTCAAACCAGAAGTAAAATCTCTTGCATGGATAATATTCAAAACATACCATATTGCTTTATACTATTCATTTCATTCCATGTATTGTCATAAGAATACTCAAATTGTGTTTGTACAAATTGGAGAGTGGAGACAAGAAATAATGGTTGCAGTCAATGGTCTGATAGTTTATGGTTTCAGAGTGAATCAGTGTGTGTGTGCATGTGTTCACACACTATTAATGTGTGTTTACTTTATATGGAATGTGTGCAGCATGATGTGGTACTCAGTAATATCGTTACATGTACACCTATTGTTAAGCAAGGAGTTGGTAAATGAGTTCCCACAAAGACAAATTCTTGGTAAACAGTCAGTTGCTAGGTTACACAAAAATAGAGGAGGCTGCCAGCAGCATATACAAAAGACAGACCCATCCTCTTGTCAGAGAGGGCGACCCATAAAAAACAAGACAGTAACTGCCAAACAGCAATAAATATCTTGTCATGAGCCCCAGACAGGGCTTGACACCAAGACTTGCTGACTGACTGACCATCAGTTGCAATGTGACTTTGCAAGTTTAGTTCAGGGTAGTTACCAATCATAGCTAGTCATAGCCGAGAACCCGTGAGTCAAGCGCACGAAGCCTTCATGGAAAAAAGTTGTGAGGATTCAGCTGTGAAGTGTTAATGGACACTGAAGACTTTATGTGTGCTGTAGTGCAGTGATATGTGGAATGATTTGAAGTGCTAGTTCCTGTGTTTTAATTGCATTACCAGGAGAGGACTAGTCTATGCGTAACAGTGAATTATAAAGTGTAGAAACAGCGGTAGCATTGCACTAATCGTAATTGAGAGAGAGAGAGTGTAACCAAAGTGCTAATAAATCCAATCATCCAAACTAAAACCTGTTAATTTCTTCACGCGTACCACCATACTTTATTTTTACAGTGGCTCTTCCAGCCCATTCAGGACCCAGGCCTCTTATTCGGTTCCATAATCATTTCTTCACAGACAGTAGGACTCCTTGGATGAGTGATCAGCTTGTCACAAGGCCTGTATGTAAACACAGGTCAACACAAACACAGAATAAACTCATACACAGAATAAATGCATACAGAAACCAAACATCCATGCCCTAAGTGGTATTCGAACCCACAACCCCAGCATCATAGTGAGCAAAGACAGTACATGCATTAGACCGTGCTCCTACTGTGACCAGCGTACCCCCTACATGTGACAATATTATATTGCAGCATCCTGGTGCACTGTGTAAATCTGACTTTAGGTTCCATTTTTACTTCAGTTAACCAAAGTTGCACATAGAGTCAAGAAGTGCAACACAAAGTCACATGGTACCCAAAGTTGAGCAGACCACTGTTGCTCTGAAGACCTCTGTCTTCTGGGATATAATACCATGTAGTCCATTGAAAGTCAACAGATGTTGCCTCATTCTTCAGGGTCTAAGAATAAACTGCTTGCTAAGTGCTTCATAAGAAGGTACAACAGCTTTAGCTGCAGAATATACCATAATGGTCACTTGTCAAAACGTTCCTAACAACATGTGGGGTTAGACACGGTTATCTCCTATCTGCTCAATTATACCTGCTGGTCCTGGATAGGGTCTTGAAATGAGTTATGAATGTATGAATGACAAAATGAGAGGAACTGTGTGGAGTGAGCTGAGGTATTTAGCGACGGATTGGGAAGAAAGGCAGAAGCTTATAGAAGACTTATGCCCCTGATAGAACTACAGACCATATTACTGTCGTCTTCATCGTCGTCACCACCGCTGCCATGTATAGGGTGGTACACATGACAAGAACGTTGGGTTCCAGTTCGGGTGATTGGATTTATTAGCATTTTGGTTACAATCTCTCTTAATCACATTTAATTACAGTGCTATCCCTGATTCCACACTTTATAATTTACTGTTACACTCATACACTACTACTCTCCTGGTAATGCAATTAAAACACAGGAACAAGCGCTTCAAATCACTCCAAATATCACACATGAATAAAGTCTTCAATCACACACAAAGTCTTCACATGGCGAACGTTCTGTGGCTATCTTCCACCGAGAACTGAAGTGAACTGTTGGTGTTATTCTCATTATATAGCCTCCACACAGACCACGAACAGAAAATCCAGTTCTGTTGCATAAGGGAGACCACACAAAGAACAAGTCATGTGATTCCTAGCCAGCATTTTCATCGGTGTGCTGTTGCATAGCAACTTGCAATAACATTCCTCTACTGAGACACATCTTCCATTGTTGCCTTCTGTGTATTCAGTCACGGGGTGTTTACTGGTCCAGTACCTAGCAACACTCTGGCCATCCACATTACATTATTATTAAGTGCTTCATGCTGGTTTTTTGCCCATCTTATTCTTAAACCCTGAAGATGGAGGTGATATGTTCATCTGAAACATCGGTTGACTTTCATCAGCCTACACATTGCTATATCCTAGGCGACAGAACTCTTCATAACCACTGCTGTGAGAATCTAAAATCATGCATCATTGCTCTGGTTTTCCGGCAGCTCATCACTCCTTGTGGGTTTATAATAATTTTCCGTCTTAGGAAGTGTTATGTATTGTGTTATCAATTCTTAGCAGGTGGTCTCTCCAGTGTCATCAGTATCATTCAACATCTCCAGCAGTGTGCTTTCCCCAAGTTGTCTCCTTATAATCCCTTCCTTAAAGGCCTGGAGTTTTTGACAGAAATTTAGTTTCCTCAACCTCAGATCCCTTCTTAACTCATTCCTGAAGAGTCCAAGGTTTGGGTCAAGGTAATGCTGGTTTTAATCATTTCTTGCATCCTGTTGTGTGTTTAATCAATAGTAGAGTGAATTTACCGACTACACAACACGTTTTTTATTTTCACATTATCACTACATGTTTCGACCTTAAGAGGTCATCTTCAGGTGTATGAACACGGCTGTATAATTACACGTGGTCACATTCACTTTTCACTCATTCGACCTTGTATCTTTTCCAGACTTACGCTCACTAATATATCGAGTTCTTTTTATAAAACACAGGTTAAAATTATAAATAATAAAATTAAATAATTTTAACCTGTGTTTTATAAAAAGAACTCGATATATTAGTGAGCGTAAGTCTGGAAAAGATACAAGGTCGAATGAGTGAAAAGTGAATGTGACCACGTGTAATTATACAGCCGTGTTCATACACTGAAGATGACCTCTTAAGGTCGAAACTTGTAGTGATAATGTGATAATAAAAACGTGTTGTGTAGTCGGTAAATTCACTCTACTATTGAGTAATGCTGGTTCCTACATGTAACGTAGAGAGTTTGGCTGGGAAATGGGCGAATGCAAAAACCAGTTTTCTGGGTACCAGTGCAGTCAGGGGGGGGGGTATTGTTTCACCTGACATCCTCCTGTCCACATCACACCATTTAGTTACCATGGGACAGTGGAGTGGTGTGCAGTGCACATCCACTATAAAGGAATTTTACAAATAACACAATAGTCTCTAGGCCAATCAGTGTTTAGTTCGTGTTCACTTTAATCTTCAGTGTTGTGGTCCTGTACTGTCTGCTCATGCCATTAAATCATGGGGATATAATTTTGAAGTAACTGGTTCTGCTATCAAAAAGAATCCTCTGGGTGAAATAAGAACTGTTGTACACCAGGAAACATTGCAGCTGTCAGGACCATTCTCATGCACAGTCCACAGCGTTTTGCACGTTGACATGCACTATCGCTGAACTTATCCTGTAGGAATGTATGGTGAATATTGCATCAGGACTTAAATTCCCACCCTTGCAAGGTACAAGTAGTGCTGGAATTAAAACCTTAGGATCTCCTTACTCATAAAAATTTTTTTCAAGAAAATCTAACTGAAATAGGTTATGATGAAGACTTTATTCACAGTCTATGGATGTCTGTTGAAGTTCGCTTTCATCTACACTGTTTTATGAATAAACAGCTTTCATTATTGGTAGGAAGGAAACCCTTGCCAATTGCATGAGCAGGTATTGCACAGTGATCGGGTAACGGTGTGGCGTGCCATTTTATCTCACGACATTATTGGCCCATATTTTCTTGAACATGATAATGGGAGTATGTCAACAGTGGTCTCAGGCTGCTGTGCAAACATAGTCACAACTTTCTTGACTTATGAACTAGCTACTGAGGTTAATGAGGCCAATTGGTTTCAGCAAGATGGAATGATGTCTCATACTGGCAGAGTGGACACGATATACCTTATTTTTTATAACTGCACCGTCTCCAGGAGTGGTGACATTCCTTGGTGTCCAAGGTTGCCAGACCTGTCAGCATGCGACTTTTTTATGGAGCCACTTAAAAAGCAAAGTGTGCACTCATTGCTCACACAGTATCGGAGAACTCTAAGAAAGAATTCATGAGGAAATTGCTGTAATTTATTCAGAGATGCTACACACATCACGTCACGCATGGAAGATCAGAGGAATACCTATGCAGAGACGGAGGTTACCTCAAGGATATCATCTTCAAGAAATAAACATTCTATGTGTTTAAGGAAGGCATATTTGTAATATGGCAGTTTCTTTTTCGCACATTTATTAAACAGAATCTGCAGTAAATATGTATGTTCAATAAGTTAGGACTCCAGAAATATGTTTGCCCACTCTCCATAAATGAGTTAATGAACTTCACTGTCTTTTATCCATGGTCTAAATATATTAAATATTCAATGGAAGAATGGTTTTTCATCATGTGTAAGGTGTAGAAAGAAGAAACCAAAGAACATTAGTTTGGCACCCTTGTCTTCTGATCTAATAGAGGGCCCTAAAGTATCCTGTACAAAAATATCTGTGTTGCAAGACTATGATCAAGCTCTGGCTTTATTACATAGAGGAAGCTGATTTACATGCAGAGTTACTAAACTAATATTTTTCTTGCAGGAAGTCTGTGCTTAATATGAAGACTAGGATTCGCCGATTAGAGATGGAAGTATCAAAGAAACAGAAGATAATAAATAACTTGAATATGTTATTGAGTAAACAACAGGTAGACAATAAACTTATCGCGAACTTGAAAACGGATTTGGAAGCTGCAAGGCAGCACACAAGAAAATGCAAGTTCAAACAAGTTATGACCACAGAGGTGAGATTTCCCTGCACACAGTGACCATGACCTTCTCTGTAGTATTATCAGATGCTCAGATCTGGGGTCACGGCTGTAAACCTAACCATTAGTCTGCTCAGGCCCCTTCACATAACCATACTTTGTATGCCTCAGATGCATGTTAATGTTGTTCCCTACAATGTTACACTGACAACAAGACTTGTAAGCAGCTGAGCTAAACAAGATCTCTATGTTCTATTTGTTTGTTTATTCTTGCCTTCTTGCTCCATTTCCATTGTACCATATGATGCCTCTTCCATGTATCTCTGTTTTCCCAAAGCTACTTCTCATTAAGATCCTCCGATGTTCTTCCTTCCTTCTGCACGACATCTTCGCTGAGTTGTCTCTGTCTTGATCTCAGTCTTCTTCATACGCATTTTCCTTTTAGTTTCTTGGACAGTAGATCTTTTGGGATCATGTTTTTATTCACTCTCAAAATGGGCCCAAATCATATTTTTAAGTTGTTCATATTATTTTTGTAACAATCTTTAAATTCTGTCTCATTTCTTTGATTTCTTATTCTCTCTCTCTCTCCTGAGCTACTGTTTCTATACTGATACCTTCCTTTGCCTGTGATTTTCCTTCTGCTCCGACCTTCCCTTTTCATGGCATAATCATTTAAAACACTAACAGTCACAAGATGTTGAGAAAATGAACTCGATCCTCTTTCTCTAACAAAATTTACAGCCAGTATCAGCATAAATTGCATAAGCCTGTCTTGTTCAATGTAAACCTTAGCAGGTTGATCCCTCTTTACCCTACATAGTTTGAGGGAATGATTGCTGCATTCATCCCTTGTTCTTTTGTTGTGTCCACAATGCTCCTCAGATGGACGGGTGTCAAACATTTTAGCATTTCTCAAGAGAAAAACCAGTATCTCAAAAATAAATATTTAATAACAATACGTGACATTAAAAAAAATAAAGCACAATAATTACCATAACAATCATAATAACAAATAATTTTCATCATTGAACTGCAACATGTGCAAACAGTAAGAATATAACAAAACTGCAACCTGTTATCTTTGACCAGCTTGATCGTTCCAGACGAAAACTCAGGAAAGAACAAACCTCACCGTTCGGGACAGTGCCCCATTATTATAACCAAACAGAAACACAAGTGGGGCAATGGAAGCCTGAACACCTACAAACAAACCAGAGCAGAAAAAAACCCTTGTTACATTTTCAAACTCAAATACTCAAAATGAGACATTACAAGCCCAACCAATAAATTTAGTTAAATTAAAACACCAGCAAACCCTTGTTGCAACACTTGTGACACATGGATCCCAACAAGGGGGTCACTCACCCTCAGTGGCCTGTATAAGAATCCAAACAGAATTTAGAATGTGCAACCTAAACAGAATTTCATTACCTTCCTCCTGGGCTGCGAGCAAACGAAAAGACCCCTTTCCAAGCCTCAGTACCTAGATGAAGCATCTTGCATAAACATCTGGAGGAAGGGGGTGTCACGTGATACATGGGGATGATGGGATTATGTAATAAAGGATGTAATTGCATGGATGCCTCAGGGGAGGGGGGAGGATATCAGATACTGGTCACCGCTTCGAGCCGTCAGGTAGAGTGTGGCCCAAACCCTTACAGTTTAACATTATTATAAATGAGTTGAGTGTTAATGAACATTAGAACTGCTCGACTGGGATATCAGCATGACTGCACCAGTAATGTTACTTTGATTATATGAATGTTTCTGTGTTTACAGTTGGTCACAAGACCAGGGAGCATTGCTTCTACAGAGACACAGACAGATGTAAATATGGATGATCTTGATGCTGATGGGTGAGTTTTGATATACAGCTCTATAATGTGAATGAATTTAGATTGAAGCCAAATGTAAAACTGTTTGTACATAAGATATTAAAAAATCTCTTTTATTTCTTTATATTATGGGCTCGACAACCAAGGGTTTCGAGTTCACGTCCTAGTTGGATAAAGAATTCTCCCCATGTTGTCGAGACTGGCTCTCAGACCCACCCATCTTCCTATCCAATGGATACCGGGGGGCTGTTTCTCCTGTGGTAAAGCAGCCAAGGCTTGAAGCTGACCATTCACCTCCAAATAGACCCGAGATCAAGAAAACATGAATCAATATATCCACTATATACGTCTTAATGGCGTGCTTCAGTTGTTAAGCACAGGACAACTTCTTTTATATTACAATATAACTTGTCAAACGGATGGTCAAGTTATGAAACGTGTTTGTACACACGCACGCACGCACACAAAAAAAAATCAATTTATTTATGCATGTTTAACAGGGATTACGAACCTAGAAGTAACAAATTTAAGGATAAGAATGGTGATCTGCTTGCAGATTGGCATCAGCATTGTAGATATCATCTGCACAAAATATCTTAAGCAAGTTTGGCACCTTTGTGGATTTTAGTTATTTCGTAGTTCCAGCATCAGTAGCCTCATTCTTGCTGTGTGCCTTCTTGAATCTTATTCTAAACCTTGAATTATCAGTGAGAAAACCGAGTATACATTGCTTTGAAATCCTAATGACCCAGGTTTTTAGCTAACTCCCTTGGCTTACTGCTTAACATTGGACCTTCCCCTTCCTTCCCCTGGGCGCTACAGCTCAGGGTAAGCTTTGGCTTTCTGAACAATCTGTCGCAATTCTTCTCTGTTCTTCATCTCTCCTGCCCATCTTTTCACTTTCATTTTACGAGATCATCATGTACATCCTCCAACCATCCCAACCTGATTCTTCCTATCTTACCACCACCACCACCCCCTCCTCCTCCTCCTCCTCCTCCTCCGTGGTTAACATTGGACCACTGACACGTATACCTCTTAAAGTTAAAATACAGAACCACTGATTGGGGGCCTCTTCAGCATCTGGAACCTTACCTTCACACTTCAGTTTTTGGGAAGTTCACTGCTGGCCATGACATAATGTCCATTGATCTCCCAGTTTCTCTTGCTGCTGTATAACTCCTACAGTTACGGATTTGGGCACTGCAGTTATCCATGTCAGTTGGCGATGAATGGTGTTAGGCAGATGGTTCTTAATTTTTTCAAGTAAGGCAGTTTTGTCAGTGAATATTATGTTTCTCCTAGGCATGTCTGTGGGGATCTGAAATCTTAAACAAAAAAAAATCATTGCACAAGCAACAGTAGACTCACAAACGCAGTCACAGCAATTCTGAGAGTAACTGTAGCTCAGTCGTCATTTATACTGACTGACTCAGAGACTCATTGATGACACAGAAATCACAAGTGTGCCATATGGCAGCTCCTGGCCCAGTTAAACAACATGATGTCCCAAACAAGTGAAGCAAATTCTGGTTATATTTTCTTTTTTTTCTCTCCAGATTTTTAATGAAATAAACAGCTGCCCTTATTAGCGAATGACCCTATTAATCGGAATCCCCTGTGTATGGCAAGAGTATGGTGAAGTTGCTGATTGTCTCACTTCCTACCTAGTAGAAGTTCCTTCTTCATGCAGAATCAGTAAATTGTATGTTTTTCTTTCAGTGTATTGCTTATCAAAGCAAGAAATGAAGTACTGAGATTAGGGAAGGAACTTGTTGAAAAGGATACTCGCATAACCGAATATGAGAGTGAACTGCATTCCCAGAGAGAGCAGGCAAAGAAAGATAATCAGCGGAACGATGAAATCATACAAGCCTTGGAGCGTGAGTTAGAAGTCCAGAGAGAGAAGGTAAGGGATGCTCGCATGATAAAGGTGTGTTCTGTGTACTGAAGGAGAACATTCCCTTCTCTGTATTATCATCAGATGCTCAGATCAGTGGGCTTGGCAGTAAAGCTAACCTCTAGCCTGCTCAGTCTGATTCACATCACCTAACTCTGTATTCTTGAGATACATTTTAATGTTCTAAGCAGTTCCAGTGAGATACTGTAATCCCAGGGGCCAAGTGCAAGGATTCTATCAAACTGCATTAGGGTGAGACATTTCTTTATCAGTGTCTGAATATTCACAGGTGTAGCATAGAATTCTACCTGTAAAATGTGTCCTAACGTTACTCAGTTCAGACCACACCACTGTAATAGTTTCATCCATTCTTTACATTGTGTCATGGTATGTGTCCATCACTGTGTGTCTTTCAGCTTTTGAAGCTTTCTACATTTTGATGGAGAACAGTTTTATTTAATGAAACTTAGATTTTAGAGGTATTAAAGATTATTTTTAGTAACTGTTTGAAAATCGTTCAGTTAATCACGTTCTCATTGCTTTCTATATTTATTTATTTATTTTTTAAGTGCTTGATCTTTTTCATAGTAGATTTGTGTTTCCTTGTTGACATGTCAGAGTTGTTGTCCCACTTATGTCTTCCATAGTCAACACCTTTCCTTTTTTATTGCGAAACCATGGTGTTTCCTTAATCATCATCGTCTATGAGTGGACCCCCTGGTGTCACAGGTGTGCACATGAATTTTAACTGCTCATTCACAGTTTTGTGAGAATCATGTAGGAACTAAAGCTCTGTACTTACCTCTGTCTTCCCAAAGCCCCTTGTTGTTTCTTTCAATGTTCTTGCTTCCTTTTGCATAAAATGTTTCCTAGCTTGATGTCCCCAGCTTGATCTCAGTCTCCTTGGGAATTTCCTGTTGGTCTTTTGGATCACTTTTCATTCATTCTTGAAACGTGTCCATACCGTCTTTTTTTGTTTGCATTTCTACGATAAACTTTTAGTGCTGTCCAACTTCTTTTCATTTCTTTGGCTACCCCAATTTCCAATGTGTATGTCAAAATAACTGTATCTGTTGACATGCTTCAACTGGAAGTCTGCTGGACGTTGTACCATAGGAGATGGCCAGCAGGTATGAACTTTTTAATTTCTTAAAAATCAGTAATACCAAACTATGAGAGGCGCCTAAACTTGTGGTGTGGGAGCTTATCACTTCATGTGGGATGTTGAAAACATATAGAGAGACAGCTGTGTCAAAAGTGTGCCACTTCTGTTAAAATGATTTGTGTGTTTTGCTTCTTTATTTTCTAGTTATGTGTCAATGAAATGAGTTGAGCATTAATGAGCATGAGAACTACTCAACTGGGATATCAGCATGATTGCATCAATAATAATGCTTTCTTATATGAATGTTTGTATGTTTACAGTTTGTCACAAGACCAAAGAGCACTGACACTGCAGTGACACAGACGAGTGTAAATATGGCTGATCTTGATGCTAGTGGGTGAGTTTTAATATACAGCTCTGTAACATGAAAAAAATTATATTCAAACATATATAAAATTGTTTGTACGTCAGATATTAACAAAATCTATTTTATATCTTTATATTATGGGCTGCATGAACAAGGATTCAGAGTATGAGTCCCAGTGTAAAATACTTTCTCCACGTTGTCTAGATCATGTCTGATGCCCACCAATCCTTCTATCCAATTAATACCGGGAGGGGGGGCTGCGGTAAAGTCTCAAACAAGTGCCGAGGCCAAGAAACATGGATCACTACAGCCACTTTCCTAGATGTCTTAATGCATCATGCTTCATTAGTTAAGCACGGGGAAAACTTCAGCCTTTGTATTAGAATATACCATGTCACGTGTATGGTAAAATTATGGGGTATGTTTCTATACACACAAAATCAATTAATTTATGCATATTTAAGAAGGGTTACCAACATAGAAGTTAGTGAAGCATAGGAATGGCAATCTGCTTGCAGATTCAAATAATGTTGTGAATAATTAGAAGAACTACTACTCTCAGTTATTAAACATACATAGGTCCAGTGATGTTTGGCAGATAGAAATACATACAGTTGAGCCATTAGTACCTGACCCTAGTCCCTTTGAGTTTGAAACTGATATTGCAAACAATACAACAATATAGAAGACATCAAGAATATGTCATTTACTTAAAATGTATTTCGATACTATGATTGTTAAAATCATTAAAATGTCCATGGGATATTACAGGTATACAACTTTATGCACTTATACAACTCTAAGAGTTGATTTAATTTGGCTAATGCCTTCAACCATTCAGCCCAGAGCCCTTTGTCTTCTCATCTACTGTCTAGAAACCTGAATTTAGAGTATACAAAACTATAATTTTGCATGTGGTTCTGTATGGGTGTGGAACTTAAGATATAGAGAACATTTATACAAACATACCTAAGAAAGATATAATGAACATAACTAAAAACATACTACAACACACTCATAATACAGACATAAATACACAAAGAGAAATTATGTGCATATTGAATACTATACTAGACCAAAATTATTTTCAGTACGAACAAAAATATTACAAACAAACAGATGGTTTAGCTATGGGAGCTCCAACATCTGCAATATTAGCAGAAATATACATCCAGAACACGGAGCACACACAAATATACAACATATTAAACAATCAGAAAATAACTGGATATTTCAGATATGTTGATGACATACTAATATTATATGATGTAAACAAAACAAATATTGACAACATGATTGTGGAATTTAATAAACTGCAGCCAACGATAAATTTCACAATAGAGAAAGAGAACCATAGATCTATAAATTTCTTAGATATAGGAATACGAGGGGGGACCCAAAAATAACCGGAACCGACCTGTTGCGCGCGCGCATGCTTTGTAGTTACGAGTTGTGCTGCTAGATGGTGTTAGCTGGGGGTCTCCCGCGACTGTTAGTGAGCTGGCGTCAGTCTGAGTTAAGTGGTTTGTCTGTGGTGCTCTGTTGTGTGCGTTCCTGTTTCAACCCTTTGGCGATCAGTGAGATGGCTGAGCAGAAGGCACAAAGAGTGCGTGAAATTTTGCTTTCTGTTAGGGAAAACTGCAGCCGAGACTGTTGGGATGCTTCGGCAAGCCTTTAATGATGATGCTTTGGGGAAATCACAGGTCTACGAGTGGTTTTCCTGTTTCAAATCTGGCAACATGTCAACAGAAGACATGCCACGCCC